CATATGAAAAATGACATGATGTGACGATGACTTAGTTGTTCAAATGTACAAAAGAACGCAAAAAAGCCCTCTGTTCTGTTGTCAAACAGACAGATGAGCTCTAGTTGTTTCTTCATTGTTTAATATTTTATTTTCCCCACAGGTTTTGTCTATGTTTTTCAACGGCCAGTCTTTGGCACTCTTGTCGATATGACTGACTATATATTTAGGTGTACACTCTCAGTCCAGCTGCTGCAGAGGGTCCAAGAACAAAATTGTCACAGATCATAATCACTAATGCAATTATCTGTTCAACGACTCAAAATCCGAAACAGCTCTGTGGTTGTTGCTGTAACAACCACTGCCTCTAGTTTTTAGTTCTTTTTAAAGCCACTTCCTTCCACCAGTCGACTTTGGCAGTTTACTAAATCTGATCGACTTCAAAGTTGGTAGACCTTTAGACAATCATCCAAGGATGGTCTTAGAAGAAATCTGTGATGATGACATTATCACGTTATTTCTTTTTGAATTTTAAATATTAAATTTTTATCCCATTGACTTTGCACACATGTTCAAGACACTATTTTGAAACCTTCGCGATGTTTGATTGCTATCAAAGTGACAGCCAACAAAGACCCTGATACAAAAAATACATGTATTGTAAGTAAATGACGTTATGATTGCGTCACCATGTGATTTAGTATTGATTTTTCAATATTTATTTCAGCCCATTGACTATGTACACGTTTTCAATCCACCATTTGAGTAATTTTGAGAGGTTTTATTGTCATCAAAGTTACAGACAACAAAGACCCCGATTAAAGAATTTGTGCGTTATGATGACGTCAACACCTATTTTTATATTGACTTTTGGATAATTAATCTTCCCCCAAAGGTTTTGTATACGTTTTCAACAGCCTGTCTTTGGCATTCTGGTCAATCTGACTTATTTCTTTCAATGTATATTTGAAGTCCATCATGAAGAGAGGCTCCTAGTGAAAAATCGTCAAAATGACATCATCAGGGGTCACGTCAAATGAGATTAAAGCTGCATTTTTTCCATAGGTTTTGTACATGTTTATCACTGAAAAATTGTGAGTGAGTAGTCATTAACTTTGGCTAAAGACTACTGTGAGAACGAAAGACAAATCGTATATATTTGACGCTATTTCATTTGATTTAAAATATACCCAAGAGTAAAAATATCAAGTAATATTTCATAAAATATTTTCAGTTTAAACATGAATCACGTGACATCATCTTAAAGGAGCAGCTGCTTCGCGTAGGTGTTTTCAGCCCATAGACTTTGTACGCGTTTTCAAACCACCATTTTGGTAATTTTGCAATGTTTGATCACTCTCAAGACTATAGCCAAACAGACCCTAATACAACCATTTTTGTTATTTGATGACGTGATACCTGGACTCTGAGAAAATGAGACCAACAGCATCTCCAGGCTTTCCATGTATGCAGTGCCAGCATCGCATACTAGGCGTCCAATGGTATGACTTCGTTTCAAATGCCATCATCTCTGAGTGCACTGGGCTTGGTAATATCATTTCGGAGGTTGCAGGGAGGCGACACACTTTGTTTGGTCGTGTCAGGCGCCTCCAAGCCCCAGCTCCTGTTCGTCTTGCCCTCAACACAGCTATCCAATTCCATTTTGGTCAGAGACCTGCCACCTGGAGAAGGCCCTTCGGCCGTCCCAGTCTCACTTGGCTTAAGCAGGTTGCTGACTCTGTGCAGCTGTCTCCAAAAGAGTGCTGGTCCCTTGCTCTTGACAGGGTTGTCTGGAGGTCACTACGACCCTCTTCACGGTCATGTGCAGAATGATGATGATAATGTCATTATCTAATTTATTATTGATTTTTCAATATCTGTTTCAGCCCATTGACATTGTACACATTTTCAAGCGGCAATTTGGGTAACTTTGAGGTTTTGATCATCGTCAAAGTTACAGCCAACCAAGACCTTGAAAAAGGTGTTTCTTAATTTTTGATGTCATGATGAAGTCATCAACTATTTTTTAATGGATTTTTGAATATTTATTTTTTCACCCAAAGTTTTGTACATGTCGATGTTTTTCAAGAGCCAGTGTTCGGCACTCTTGTCAATCTGATTGAATTATGTAATGGAAAGTCAATGTTTACTTTTCCTTCTGATATTTTCACAGTTACATGTATATTTTTGAAAATGCTTTCTCAAAAATGCTGAAACAGCCTGCAGTTGTTTTAACAACCGTCAAACCTCTAGTTTCTCTTTATTCTTGTTTTTATTCTCAAAAAGTCATTAATTAGGATCTGTCTTCATTATGCTAAGGCAGGTCACTATTTATAAATGAATTGTAGATTACTAATCTGTCGATAATTTTTTTAAAACCTGATCGCGGTTATCTCTCTTCAACAAAGGATGGACAATACACCGGATTCTAAGGAAGAGTTAATAATCCGGGTAATAACCGGAAGCAAGACATCAAGGCAATCGCTCACCAGCTTAGTAGGCATTGGATCCAGATCACATGATTTCTTTGCGTACTTCACAAGTTGTTCTACCTGTGACCTAGTTAGTGGTTGAAATTTGTCAAACAAAGTGCCACACAACAAAGGCGATTCAGGTATTGGATGAGAAGTTCAGCTTGCTGCGGCTGAAGTTAAATTAAGTTTAAGGCTTTTGGTTGCACCAGATACAAGAAAAATATCTCTTTTATGAATGTGTGGTCTGAGAAGAACGGATGGTGGACACCCAATGTACCATACAGTATGCGCTGTTCATCTTTAGGAGGGTGACTGGTTGCCTGGCTCTGATGATGCTGGTATTTCAGCGCTGAAGAGGATGCTGAAGGTGCACTGGTGTAGAACGGCTTGCTTGATGGTGGATCCGCTGGACTGAAAGACTATTGAGAGTGCTCAGTGATGCGTGGCAGTGAGGCATTGGGTGTAGTGGGAGGAGGAACTAGGAACCATGGGTATAGATGATTCATTGGTCCGGGAGGGTAATATGGAGTGCCCGATGCTGCTGATGTGAAACCCAACGTCTTGGGGGACTGTGTCGTGCTTGTAGATCTTGATTGCATCCCTGATGCATCTTGGGTACCATCTGTTGACCGAAATGATGAGTTGAGCTACTTGCCAGTTGATGACGTGATCCTTGATGTGTGAGTGTTTGGCAATTGCTGATTTATTGTAGTCAACTCTGCGTCCATGGGTGATGTGTTCTTTAAGTCTGGTTGGCAAATCCCAACAAGTCTCGCCTATATACACCTTCCCACATTCGCATGGGATCCTGTAGACACCAGCTTTCATCTGATGGTCTTGCTTGTCCTTGTGCATCTGCAGGGTGGCTTGAAGTTTCTTGGCTGCAGTGTGAAATACTTTTGATGTTGGCTTGGTGAAGGATGCGTTGGATCTTGTGGGATGCGTTTCCTACGTATGGTAGGGTCACTGCTGCCTTGTTACGAGGGTGGTTGACTTTGGGTATAGAAGACCTGACAGTCAGTAGACTTGAGTTCTTGATCTTGGCAGTAGCCAACTTCGCCCTGGTAGATCAACAGCAGACGTGGTCTTCTGTGTTACTTAGCTCCAGGAAAAATTTGATGAACATCAACAACCAATGTACGTGGTTTCATTGATTTAAGGCGTTCAATCTGGTTGATTGAAAATTGCTTTTAATGGTGGTAAAGAAAGCTGGCTGTCCTGATACCCTTCTCTTACTGATTGATGCTTTCCACACCGACATGTACAGTAAAGTGCAATATGATGTTGATATATCGCACAGGTTCCCCATCATTTGTGGAGAGAAACAAGGTTGTGTATTGGCTCCGACACTGTTCAGAATCTATTTTTTGTATGTCTTCCGGCATGCTTTAATCTGTTCGAGTCTCTGTGCTAACTAGAGATGATGGAAACTTCTTTTCTCTGGCCTCCTTCAAAGCAAAGATGAGAGTAAACGAGGTTGCGATAAGGGAACTACTGTACACAGATGACAATGCCTTACGTGCACAGACTGCTGCCCAGCTTATGCTTCTCTCACGCTTGTAAAGACTTCAATCACAATATTAGCTAAAAGAAGACTGTAGTTCTTCCAATCGATGACACCTACATGTGTATCCAACCGATGACACCTATCTAGAAAATGTGAAACAGTTTACATATCTCGGCTCTACTGTTGACAGCAATGTGTCCTTAGAACCTGAGCTGAATAGACAACTCAGTCTTGCTGCTTCAACCTTCAGTCGCTTCACTGGGAGGGTGTAGATGAACAAACACCTGTAAAAACCAAGGTTTGCGTATATGAAACCAGCATACTCAGTTCACTCCTATATGGTTCTAAATGCTGGCCAACATACATGTACAGGCTTCAGGAATTTAGACCGAGTTTTTTCCACATTATATACATTTCTTGAGTCCATCATAGGTATCACCGGTGAGGACGGAATGACAAATGAGGGATTGTTCAGGATTACCAACACCGGACTACTGTCTTCTCGCATAAAACTGTTCAAACTTTGCTGGGCTGGTCATGTGCATCAGATGGCTGAAGAAAGATTTCTTCATACTCTTCTACACAGCCATCCATGCAGCTGAAGAATGTTGTAAAGCATGACCTGACAGACTTCAACTTGAACCCACAAAAGTGCACAACTCTACCTCAAAATTGTGACAGCAATTCATTGCGGTCAAGCTTTTGACACTAGATATCTCAACAAACTCAAAAGACGTTGCACTCGACTCTCTACCGTTGATGAATAAAGATGATCTCCAAGGCATTGTCGGGAACGACAGAAGCTGGCCTGAACTGAATAGATTTTTAGCAGACAAGTGGTGTTTAAAACACACACAAGGGGGTATAAGTTTGGGGGCAGAAGGGCAAGGGCAAAGTATATTTTCATCAAGAAGTTATTATGGTTACAAATACTATAATAAATGTTTCCTTTTTCATTAAGAAAATTCACGTTTACACACAGTTTGCTTACATACACGTATTTAGAAATTTTTGTGTGTTTGTGGTTTTGTTTTTTGCAGCCTGTCGCACCCCATGCAGAACTTAAAGTGTGGTATGCTTCAGATTATGCTCGTAATATGAACATTACATTGCTGTGTGCAGATAAACCAGGTAAGATGAAACCTTTTTCTTTTATTACAATCAGCCGCGGTGGGCGGCACCGTGCGGCACCACCTGGTACTGTATTCCACCAGGCTCTTGGGTTCAAATTGGTTGTGCCGCCCAACACAGATTTTCAAAAATTAACTGAAATATTGTTGAAAATGTACCAATTTGATCATATTCAAGCTTACAAAGTCGGAGATTTGCTCTATTTTGCAATTTTAAACAAGTAAAGAAAGACATAAGAAACATATTTCTCATTTTCTTAGTATCAAATCAGCCACTGATTGTGAAAGCATTATTGTAAACGTGCCTTCACGATGATGTAGGGAGAAATCCCTGCCTGGATTCCCCTAAAAACCCAGCTATGGCTTGTGAGAGCTCAGCTCACTACACTCGCTACGCTTCGTATTCTAAAAATTGACCCGGCACTAAAATGGTCCTAGCTGGAATAATGTTTACAATCACCCTCAGTACAGAGTTGCTCAGAAGCAAAGTTACAATTGTGCAAGTACGGGTTTATGTCTGTGCATGCTTGATTTTATAATTACATTACAGGCTATGACTTTTTTTTTACATTGGGAGGGGTTTGTCACACTCAGTAATTAAAATGGCTGGAAATCCCTCATCCTGGGATCTCTGAGGCCATGTTAGGTATTGAATTACAGCTGACAGTGTGACAAATATGATTATGAATACAACAGAATTGTTTACATGTGTAATTTAATATAGTATGTCCAATATGAAAAATATTACATTTCTTAAAATACATGTACATAACATACCACTGATACTAAATACTAGGTGACACTTGTTCACCGTTGGGCAAAAAATCTTTCCCGTGGCCTAACATAAAGATGGTCACCCTAGAAAAATCATTGAACCCAATTTCAAATGTAGGCCTACTCTTACGTTCAAAACATATGAAATGTACAAATTAGTACTTCGACAAATGAAATAAACAAATTTGTGCTTAGATGTTTGCAATGAAAATCTTTTTAGAATTCATCTGTAAGGTCAAAAAACAAGATGCTCTATGCTTACCAAACCAGATTTAATTCAAAGCACTATCACAACAGGGCAATTTTTTGGGGGGTTCAAAACCTCCCTATAAATAAATTAAATAGACATGTACATATAAGGTGGAAGTGAACTGGAGGTATTTTCTGCACATCATCCGGCAAATTTATGAATGTTATTGTGTGAATACTTTGAATGGCTTTGAAACACTCCTGTGGATGAAGATGGGGGCATGTCACTACACTCTGTGCACACAACATTTCCTCTGTTAATGTTTAGCTGGGGTTCTACATACAATACAACTTCGGTATGCTTCCACATAGTTGATGAGGTTAACATTTCCCTGAAGGCATTTAATTAGGTTACCAATACGTGGTCATCCTACCCATTGTTCCCTCACCAGGCATTAGAGCAACAACCTTTTCTGTCAAGTTACATGTAGAAATGAGGCTGTGCTGAAAACTTGCAGAAGCTTATCTTCCTGGAGTTGACACCACATGTCAGTTTGTAAAAATATACACATTCAACAGGCAGATCTCTAGTAGCAACAGGAAGATTCTGTTCCATCATTTCACAGTTTTAACTGTCCACAGTAGGAAACACTCTGGTCCACATGGTCACATCCATTCATTGCACATGGTCACATCCATTCATTGCACATGATCACATCCATTCATTGCACATGATCACATCCATTCATTGCACATGATCGCATCCATTCATTGCACATGATCACGTCCATTCATTGCACATGATCACATCCATTCATTGCACATGATCACATCCATTCATTGCACATGATCACATCCATTCATTGCACATGATCACATCCATTCATTGAAAAACTGTAATCATTGACGGTAACTGGCAAGTCAAATTGATCACTGCTTTTTCTTTTGCTGGCCTCCACCATACTGAGACACTCAAGTTAACACCTACTACTTCTTCACGCCTTGACACACAAGCTTTGCATCCAGTACAACACGCCTCTACAAGCTAATCCTCTGCACAGAATCCTTGGTCAGTGTATATAAACCCTTCTCCAGCCTGATTCCTGCATTCCTCTGAAGACGAACAGAGCAAGCTGTTCGAAGTGTCGAGGCCTCCCTTCCCCCACCTGTTTTATCAGAACCACCACCGGCGCACAAAAGAGATTGATTACGTGGTGTCACTGCAAACACCGTTCCTGTTCTTATCTTCACCATGCAAACTTTCAAATCTTACCCCCTTTGCTCTATGGGGAGCCTACCACCTCCTGCATTAGGCTGAGGGAGCATCATTCCATCAAGTACTCAAGGCACATCAACAGCCTAAGCTTCTTGAAAAGATGCAGAGATTCGAGCACCATTCCACCAGGCCTTATTCTCTGAGACCCCGTTCAAGACTTCAGCTTTTAAAGAGATCCTGAAGAAAGGTAGCCTTGGACTGCTCCGCAACCACATATCCACTTCTAGATTTTTACTCGCCCAAGTGGACAAGCAGACAACTACATGTACTACCCATCAGCACCTCAGGACCAATGTACTTGCAGCTGATTTCTCAAGATTCAATGTCTTACCCAGTCTTCTAGCACCCATGGCTTTGAGGAGACCCATCCCTGCCTAAGCAAGAAGTTCCAGTCTATTACCAAGAACAAGTCCAGCCACCGCAGCAACACCAACTCAGCCTTACCTGGGCTAGGGGATCTCCTATATCCCCATGTCCCAAACCCCCTACCCTGGCAATGGCATGCCCCTATATCCCTATGCCCACAATCCAGCAGCCTCAGTACCAGAGCCTTCAGCTCATACCAGACTAAGTCCCACCTCAGACCTTTCGTTTTAAGTTTAACATGGTAAAGTCAAGCAAGAATAAGCATGGTGTTTGAAGTGGAGGGAGTAGGGCCAGGCCTCCCAGGCCTCCAGCCTCTACTCCCAGTAAACCAAGAGGAAAGAATTCAGACCACGCTGGGTTCAGAGCTGCACCTTCTGCGCCTTAAGTGTCCCTTTAATACTTTTTCCAAAAGGAGCTATTCTGGAGGTGATCAGACACCCTCTGCCCCCCCGACCCCAGTGTTTGGGGAATTCCAGTCCCAACCGAGAAAACCCAGATAATTCCCATTGTACTGGCCCTGCCTGGGTGAAAACCAGGTAGTCTTGCATTCCTCGGGACCAAACAGAAAACCCATGCGATTCCCAGGAGACAGATCAGACCTGGATGAAAACTGGGTCATCCAGTACTCACCACACCTGGAAGAATACGGTGGCTAAGCGTACACACTGTCATCACAAAAAACACAGAGCTGTTATTCAAGTTCCAGTTCATCTTCTTAAGAGTCTTCTGGCTATTCATAGGGTTCCAGTCAGCCATGTCGCCATAGATCTTAGTCCAACAGCATAAATGTGTTTTTACAAGCTTTTTAGAAATTATCAGCCACAATAGCGTCCCTGATCTCGAAAACCTCCTTATGACAATCCAGCCAACCCAGTAAAGGACAGTTATACATCTGAGCAGGGCGAACATACATTTATGCTAGTTAACCCTTCAGATGAGTTACATGTATTATCAGATTCTGACTATCAATCGCACCCCCATTCAGCTGTGGGCCATCACCTGGCTTCACCGGGCTGTCACCGAGGTCAAGTCGCTGAGTGTGAACACCTCAGAGAAGGTGTGATGCCCTGACTCCCCATGGCTGCTTCTCCTAGGACGAGTCAATCCTTTCTGCCTATGACTGTAGGTTACACCTGTTAATGAAGGAAATGGTCAGGGTGTTTAAGGCATGACGTCTCTACAGGCCAGCCCCTTCCTGGCCAGTAGCTTTTAATCCCCTTCTACCAGCCGGGCTACCGGCCGAACCTGTGCTAAACCCCTTTGCACCGGGAACCGTCGACAGCCGTGGCTTTGTGTGAGGATGTGTGTACCATACATACAGTCTATTCACCATGCAGCTGCTGTTTCAATGGGGCCTGCTGCTGGACAGAGCTTTGTATTCTGGGCATACCGCAGCCCAGCAGTCACGGTCAAAAGAATCCCGGACAGAAGGGGTTAAGGAACAACTGATTCTTTGTATTGCTGCTTTCTAGTAGGAATCAACTGCTGATGAACAAGCTGTTGAAAATCCAAATGTTATTTCAACTCATGGTCAAAAAGAAAACACCACACAGTCAAATACACTGGAAAACGAAAGACCCTTCATGTCTTCATGTAGATTTCCAAGTCTTGTGGGCCAAAATCACTTTTTGGGGTTGTTCAGCCTACGGTGCAGAGCATAATGGTGAATTTTACCTTTTGAACCTAAAATAAGTATGGAAGCATGAAATGTTACCAATTTTGATGCAATATATCGTGACACAACTCTCCACCATATACTGGAAGACCTTTCATGTTGATTTCCAAATTTTATGGGCCAAAAATCCCTTTTCTTGAGGTTGTTCATCCTGTTCAGAGCACGTTACTCAAGTTAAATTACCCTATGGACTCAAAAACAGGACAGCACATTCTGAGCAATAGTAACTTTTCCACTTTATTGCATTTGTCCTTTGTTAGAAGCCATTTTCCAATCGTTACTTTTGGTCCATTATTACACATGAGTGGTTTCTCGTGGAACATCTACTCTTCCAGTCATCTTGTGTTTCTTGTATTTGTTTTGTAAACGGGAGAGGAATACGGAAAACAAGCCATCATAGCAATGGTGGAACTACATGTACAAGACACAGCATGTCGAGTGCACTTTCAACCATGTATTGCACGCGAACACCTCACAGCGCTGCAGCAAGCCTGCAGTTAGCGGGCAATGTAAGTGCGTACAAGCTGGTACCATTTTGCCATTTACAACAGATTAAAACAAACAAATGCCATATGTCGATTTCTTTCTCACGTTTGAGACTGTGGTGATGCAGATTTGCAAATAATGGCTGTCCTTTACAAAGCAGAAAAAAAACCAAGTTAAGCAAATCACAGTAATGTTGCCTAAACTTTAGACAGTTTTCTCGTAAGATCCTTCTGAA